TTAGAAGGTTGTTTCTGTAATGAAACATGCTCTGGCTTCTAGCAAGCTACTTTCAAAAGGAGGCTTGCTAATATCCCAAAGTGTTCTTGCATTAAGGTGTGTGTGTGCGTGTGTGTGTGTGTGTGTGTGTGTGTGTCCCTCCGTCCATCTGTCCAAGCTCGGCCACTCCTTACCTTCTCTCGTAAAACCAGTGTCTTGGGGGCAGCTGGGTAGGACCCTGGGGCCCGTCTGTTTTCAGGGAGTTTTTAAATATATAATCACGCAGTTTTGCGTCTTGACAGAAACCTGACCCTTAACCTGACATCGGAACAGTCCGAAGTAGAAATTGGGGTGTGTGAAGGGAAATGTGTTTTTACCTTTTGGAAGAAAAGATCATTTTTATCGGCCTTTCCCCGCAAAATAACAGAGCTGGATGGTATTTTGCTTCAGTAATGGGAAATTCTTTCAGCAGTGGTGATGTTACTGTATTTTGGGCTTTTAAGCACCTCCATAACTTCGAGATCTCTTTTTGAAAAGATTTCCCTGTCCCCTTTTAAATGCCACTTGAGTCGCCTGGGATGGGTTGGTTCTTCCGGACTGTGTTCCTGTTAAGTTGATTAAGTGTGCCTAAGATGCAAATGTGTTCATGATTAGAAAACAATTGTGAGAAAAAAACAACCACATCTGGGGCCTCCTCATCTCCGTGATACATGCACCTAACATGGTTAAGAGAGTTATTCCTGGGCCTGGTTAAAACCCACTTAGGTTTTTACAAAGACCCTGGGGTTAGACAACTTTTACGCGGCGTCCTGGCCTCCAGCGCCTGGTTTAGTGCGCCACCTACTGGCTCTACCTGAGGTTGCGGTCAGCCTTGTGGAATGGGTTTTCTACAGTATTTGGGGTTTACTTAGCGTTCTTTTCAGATGATGGTCATGTCCCCAGAGCACTGAGCTGCCCATGAATAACAAAAGCCACCAAGTTTAGGGACCCTAATTCTTCCATTGTCGAGGCTAATTCTCAGTTACCTGGAAGGTACTTGGAAAATACTACAGTTGCTTTTTCCGGTTTTAGAACAGAACCCATCAAAAGTGTATACCCGGGGGAACCAGCAGTTAGCGTAATGGCTATGTCGCTGGACTCCCACTTGGTTGACCGCGGTTCGTGTCCCGGACCCGGTGGCTTAAAACTCACACCGGGCGCGTGTGTGTGCGTACCCAAGATCCCGAGAGGAGAATGGAGGAGAAGGGATTGCGACGTGACCATCCCCCTTGGGGGGTGATTTCTCGCTTTCTGTCTCTATGTGTCTCTCTGTCTGTCTGGCGAGCTCACGCGCCCCACAGTGAAAATCTCTCCAAAAAAATAAAAAATTAAAATTAAAAAAAAATTAAAAAAAAAAAAAGCGTATACCCGAGACCAAAGATGCGCGTGCAGCATAGACAATTTTTTAAACTAAATAAATAAAAGACCTGATTTATGTTAATGGCATGGATTCTCTTCCTAAACTTGGTTCCTTTCTGGCTCAGCTTCCCTGTTGCTGTTGAATATGCAGATGTGCACAAAATTGTCCCAGCCCCCACTACCAGTCCCCAGAGGTGCTCATTAACATTCTAGGGTGTGTCATCTAGGTCATCTAATCTTTTCATATCCCATTTTAGAAGGTCCCAGAATTAAGAACACAGTGGTGTTGGACTTGTGAGTGGACCCCCTTTGATTCTATTTCTCATGGTCTTTGAACTTTGCACACTTTTTTTTTCAAAGATTTTTTTTTGCTATAGGGCGCATGCACTCGCCAGAAAGAGACAGAGAGACAAAAAGCGAGAAATCACCCCCCAGGGGGGATGGCCATGCTGCAGTCCCTTCTCCTCCATTCTCCTCTCGGGATCTTGGGCGCACGCGTCGCGATCTCTGGCGCACGCGCGCACACACACACACACACACATACACACATGCACCTGGCCTGAGTTTAAGCCACCGGGTCCAGGACTCAAACCGCTGTTGACTACATGGGAGTCCAGCGACATAGGCATGACGCTGGTCCCTGAACTTCACACACTTTTTATTGTTCAATGATGTATTGTAGTTGGGAGTCTCAAGATGAGGTATTATGATTGTATTATTTCTTTTTTTAAAAAAAAAACAAAAGGATTCTTTTATTTCATTTTATTTATTTATTTAAATTTGATCAGAGAGAGGCAGAGAGAGAAAGAAAGCAAGCCACCAGGTCTGGGGCTTGAACTGCAGTCGGCCATGTGGGAGTCTGGCACCCTTAACCCCCACGCCACCTGCTGGCCCCTGACTGTATTGTTTCTTCTTCAGTTATTAGCTGAAATTCGGACATGATGAGAAAAAGCCTTCCCTCAACATTGGAATTTCTTTGAGGCACAGTTCTGATACAGCTTTGTAATTCCGTTAAAACAAAAGCCAATCAGCTTTTGTTAAGGACAGTGTTTTATGTTCAACTATATTCCTCTTGTGATTACACGTCTTGCAAAGCCCGTGTTTTCTCCAATTTAGGTAGAACATGAAATTAAAGTGCAGTGGTGATTGAAATAATGTCTTAAAATCATAAAAGGTATAGCAGGTTAATGTGCAATTCATTTTTAAGTGGATTCAGTCGTTATTGCTGTAGGCATTAAACGAAGTCATTAGAGGCTGCAAGAGCTGAATGGGAGAGTTAGAATTGAACCAAGAGGAGCTCCAGAGCCATCACTTTTCATTTTTCCTTTTTTTTTGTAAAGTTTTTTGCAAGAGGGAAAGTGAGAAATTGCCACCCAGGCAGGGGGGACAACCATGCCACAATCCCTTTTCCAGTCTCCTCTTGGTATTTCAGGCACACATGCGCCTGCTAGGTCCACACAAGTTGGCCATGTGGAATCTAACACCTTGCTCACCATGCCACCTGCTGGCCCTAAAAACTCATACTGGTTTTTGTTTGTTTGTTTGTTTTAAGAGAGTGTTGGAGAGACAGAATGTGAGAAATCATCCACCCTCCCAGAGGGGATGGGACGCACACACACTTGCCTAACCTGAGTTTTAAGCCACCTGGTCCAGCACCCAAACCACAGTCTAGTGACTATGTGGGAGTCCAGTGACGTAACCATTACGCCCTCTACTGGTCCCATCGTTCTTGCCTTTCATTTTTCAATGAACTCTTTGAAGTCTTCTGTATATCCAAAAAGTGTGTGCATATTTGTTGACATAAACAATTTCGAGGGCAAATGCATTTTGTGTTTTGATTTTCAATTTCATTTCACCATGGGGCCCAGCTCCTAAAACTTCGAGAAGTAGGTAAGGGCGATGTGTCTGCATTTGCACATGAAGAGAGTTGCCACCCCATAGCAGGGATAGGTTACAATCTCAAGTCAACACCCAAGCTCTTTCCCCATACTCCTGAGAATGTGAGAGTTTTTTTTTCAGAAGGATTTGCACAAAAATACTGTCTAGCCGAGCAGCTGAATCCAAAAGCGTGGATTCAATATTGATTGTTGGGAGGCTGGGACTGTGACCTCTTTGATCCGAGCAGGGGATCTCACACCTTTTGTCTGTGGGGCCCTGGACAGCAGCTCTTAGACCCATGTCCATCTGTACAGCTGCTCAGCTTGCAACTGATCAACTGAGACACAAAGGGGTTTTCATTCTTCAGTATGAAATCATCCATGTTTCCCTTGCTGTTGGGTCTGTTCTCTCTGGGGTGTCCAAGAGAGCGGTAGCACCATTGATTTGAGCAGCCTGGCATCAAGTGTCTTTGCAGATGATGCTACATCTTGTGGTATTAAGAAGGATCATCTTGGGGTCCCAGCAGGTAGCATGGCAGTCAATGGTGCTGGATTCCCATATGATCGACCATGGTTTGAATCCCAGACCTGGTGACTTGCTTTCTCTCTCTCCCTTTCTCTTTTTTTCTCTCTCTGTCTCTCTCTCTGGTCAAATTAAAATAAGTGAATGATGAGACCAGCAGTTGGTGTAATGGCTACATCCCTGGACTCCCATGTAGTTGACCACAGTTAGAGTCTCAGACCTGGTG